GGGCCTTGCCTCCAGAGGTCTTGTGTTATGTTGAGTGTCTTTTGCCAATACACCTTTCAACTAGTTTGCAGCCCTGACACTAATTTTCCAACCAGCACCCAGGACTCTTTGGGGCTGATTTCCAAAGCTGTTATTGTCTTCCCGTGTGCTGCCCTCAGAAACCTCAGCCAGTGGCTCAGAGGAGACAGATAAGAGTTCCTGTCCCAGATTCTGACCCTATTGTCCCTATTCCTGCTGCATCCATCCGACTTGTCTGCTGGCAAGGTCGCTGTGTCTGTCCTGAGGAGAGAAGAACATGTCACAGATCTTGTGAGCTGGGAAAATCGATTGACCCAGCCTCGTGGAAGCCTTACAAATGAAAGTGGGTGTCGTTTATTTGCAGGGTGTTAGAAAAGTCGGGATTGGGAGAGTATTCTACTTGGGCTCTGGGTCTTACCACTAACATTGTCACTCTTTGAAGTATATTTTTATTCCACTTATTTATTTGTTTATTGATTGAGTGTGTGTGTGTGTATGAGAGAGAGGGAGGGGGTGTGTGTTCATGACCCACATACGGAGGTCAGAGGACAAATTTCGGTTCTCTCTTTGCATGATGTGAGTCCTAGGAACTGAACTCAGGTCATCAACTCAGTAGCAAGCAATTTTACTACTCACAGAGCCATCTCCTCAGCCCACTTTTTAATTTTAATTAATTTTCTTTGGAGGCAAGGTCTCACTCTGTAGCCCAAACTGACCTCCAACTTGTGGCTATCATCTTGCCTCAGCCTCTCAAGTGTTGGAACTACGAATGCAAGCCACCCTGACTGATCTTTTCAGCTTAAAAAAAAATTAGGTGTATTTATTTGTGGGGGAGGCAGTGCCATGGTGTACTTGACCATTCTCTCTTTCCGTGCGTGGGTCCAAGGGATGGAGCCCAAGCTAGGCTCTCTCCTTCCTTGTGTGGGTCCTAGAGATGGAGCCCAGGCCAGGCTCAGAGGCAACTGCCTTTACCCACAGAGCCTTCTAGTTGGATTTACAGGCAGTTGTGAGCCACAGGGTGTGGGTTGGTGTTGAAGAACTGTTTTGCACAAACAACCCGGCTATAGCTCAGTGACAGGATATCATATACCCCTGCCTGACCTTGAACCCCCCTATATGCCCCCAGACTGTCCTCGAACTTGTGGTCCTCCTGCCTCCACCTCCCCAAAACTGGGATTACAGGCATGCACCACCACGCCTGGTCTAACTGTTTTCATTCTTTTCCCTCTCAGCTCTTCCTCATCAAGGGGTCTTGAGAACTATCTGTTGCTCCTCGGGATCCCTCGCGCCCGGGCCCGCAGGTGCTTCTCTGGTGTTGAGC